TTACTCCATTATAACATCCAAGACTAACTGGATGTTATTCCCGGACATTCTATTAACTAGGGAGGGCCTCACGATCCTATAAGCCACATTATTCATACTGAATTGTGGTTAAAAATTAAATATTGAAATGTCCATGCTCAACTTTTCGAATTTGGAAGTTGATGAAGAAATTAAAATATAAGCAAAGTTCTTGCGACAATTGTTATACAATTATATTCATGTGTTGGTCAAAACCAAAATGTTTTCAAAAATTACGAAAAATTCCAACAAATTTCTCCAGAAATTTCTCGACCTACGGGAAACCCGTTATATTCGGTGGGAATATTTTATAGTATCAATAGTTCACTATATGTTACACATAAACTCAATGCTTTATGTGTGCTCAATGCAAATGTTATGTGCGTACAGTATTCTAACCCCTTTCACACCTCCTAAAAGTGGGTATCAGTCCAAACAAATAAATATACATTATTTCTTATCTCGGATACGACCAGAAAATTGACATTTCGGCAAAATCCAGTTATTTTAGACCATACCATTTTATAGTTAGGGCCAAAAGTTCATGATAAAATTGTACTTGATAGTTTTATGGGGAATTTTGAAAATTTGAGTTTTAGAACTTGCTGAAAAAAACTAGCTTTCTATGTATCAAAATGTTCAGAATTTAAAACAATTAGAGACGTGTTTTAGGAAAATAATGATTATATGCTTACATTTTGGATAGAAGGTAGAAGGTAGAGGATAGAAGGGCAACATTTTAAAGTGTTTGCTGCATAAAGGTTACTTGGCTAATTTTAGTGATCAATAGTCAAATTGTTCATAATCATAAATAGAAAAAAAACAAATTTCAAATTTTTAGAATTATATTCCAAAGTATGTATTTTTGTAAAAATTAAATTTTAATAATAGCAATGTCAATACAGTATATCGATATCAATATCATTTTAAACCCCAAATTGTATTTAAAATTTTACTACATTCTAGATTCTAGAATATACAGTAGTTATTTATAAAGATCGATGACATCTATATTCTGTGATAATTTACTTAACATAAAACATTATTTTCATTTACCTCTAGAAATGATTATTTTATTATTCAATTTCAAAATACGTTAATTAAATTTTATTAATTGTTGAAACAAGAAATTAATAACATTATAACACAAAATATTCAAAGCTAACTTGAAAGTAACCTAATGCTAATTTACAATATAATGTGATTAAATGAGTGATTAATAATTAGTAATTACTATTAATGCTGATACTTCTTACATTATATCTGGGAAAAGTAACTTATTCTTAGGAAATAGTCTCATAGGTCTACATTACCTAACAGTCTAATAGCAGGTACTTTCTCCACGTCTAAACTTTAATGCATAAAATTCAAGACTGAGTAAAATATTTATAAAATTAAAAATAATTAAGATAATTCATTCAAGTAAATTTTAATATAAAATATTATCACTATTACACAATTAAGCAAATTTTTATAAATTTACAATGACCACTTTGACCACAATGAATTATTCAATGCGCCGATTCATACACCTGACTAACGACTCTATGTATTAGCGCCTATGTATATGTGCTCAATGTCTCAATTTTGGGCGTAAAATTATCAATTAATCTCTCGGTTAGAGGCTTTTCCGAGATGTGAGCCTGATCAAATTGCGCACCTTGTTGGCCCATGGCATTTTCATAACGTGCATGATGTATTTCGCATCCCGAGTCCATCATGGCCAGAGTAATTGGAGTGTGTCCCGCGCCGCTTGTTCGGCCGCAGTGAATAATTTATTATGGTCAAAGTGGTCATTGTAAATTTATAGAAATTTCCTTAATTGTGTAATAGTGATTATATTTTATATTAAAATTTACTTGAATGAATTATCTTAATTATTTTTAATTTTATAAATATTTTACTCAGTCTTGAATTTTATGCATTAAAGTTTACTTTAAATAAACTAATTTGATGTAATATATAGTGTAATACTGATTGTACATATCTTGTATATTTTAATTAATTAAATATTATATCAATTTAAAACATAACTTTTAGAGACAATTCAAACAAATGGAATTTTATTAGAAATTGATGTGAATTTTAATCACTTGTTGAACAAACAATCAAACAGTGAGTTAAATACATATTAATTTAAATTCAGAATATTCTCTATTAATTGGCAATTACAATTCAAACAAATGGAATTTTATTAGAAATTGATGTGAATTTTAATCACTTGTTGAACAAACAATCAAACAGTGAGTTAAATACATATTAATTTAAATTCAGAATATTCTCTATTAATTGGCAATTAATAAAAGCAAACAAATGAATATTTGTAACTATATTTGTAACTTATATACTTGTATAGTGAACAATTTAATATTAACATATAACTGGATAACAATTTCATTAATGTAAAAATGTTTGTGAAGAAAACAAGAAACCAAAGAACTTAACATATTTAATGAAATGATAAGATTTATACGGTATATAGTGTGCAACTGTGCGGCAAATCCAGTGAATTGACCATGGTCATGGTATTTGCCATAATTGTTAACAATAATTTGTGAATGTAGTATATCTCATAAAATAGACTGGTTTATAGGTTTATTGGATTATTAGTTATAACCTGAGATACAGTAGTTTAACGCTGGCTATTATTGGCTGCCTTTCGACGATTAGTTCACAAAATAATTTGTTTATAAAATAAATCTTGAGGTAAATATTGTGAATTCATTACAATGTGAAACAAAATTCAATTATTTATTAAAATCTCTGTTTAAATAAATAACTCTAAAGTAAACAACTCTTTAACGATATTATTATTAGTTTACAAATAAACATAAAATATATATTTATATAGATTTGGGTTTTAGAGATCATTTGCGCACAAAATTCTCTAAAATAGTTGTATATATTATTAAATAAATAAAACAAAATCTATGGTAAATATATGGTTAAAACATTTCACGACTTCCATCACAATCGGGATCTGCCTTACCATTCATTTAATAGTCCGTCAGAACAATCATTCAATAGACTTAGAGCTCATTCAGTCGATACACCGGGATATGAGTTACTTATTGACAACTTTTTCATAAGAGTAATAGAGTTATATTCTTAATAATCATACAATAGATTATATTTATATAATTAACTAATTTATAGTTATAACATGTTTTCATATAATCGATATTTGTTTATATAATTTAAACCGAGTTCACAATCGCATACCTCAACACAAGTCTATTTAACTCAAACATAACAGCAGAGCGTAAATCTATTGATAATATTTGGTCAAAATTGTCTTCACATATACACCAATAGATATATATTAAGATAATTTGAGTCAATTACCAATTAATTATAATAACTTAAGGTTAAAGTATACGAGAATGAACTCGCATTTTGCTAGTATTTACAACAATTGCTTTAATGGCAGTGTGTTTTCTAATGGTTTAAAGTGAATGTATGGTTAGTTCAAATTGAAACTAAACCTATGTTTAGTTTATGAGACATTTGAGGTCCACATAATAGTATGACATCTAATTGATGAACACATTTGTGTTTCCTATTAAGTGTTAATACATTACAATTAATATCCAAGTTATAAGTTATGGATAAGTCAATTGTAATAAGTGTTGCGAAATGATTTCACTGAGTGTTGGGTACAAATCACTTCAATTTGCTATTAATTTACTAAAATTTAACTAAAAATCTCTTCAAATAAATAAAACCGTTACTAATATATGAAATAACTTATAAATAGTATTTAATCCTAAGCTTAATATTTGTTAAATGAGTGATATATTGCCAGAACTGGCGTTACTATTGGCGTCGTCTTCGATCACTGACGAGCCAATAGAACCGCTATCACTGCTACCACTGTTCACAACGGCTGACAGTTTCGGTTTGATTACAACCGCTCGCTTACGACAACAACACGGCTCAAGAAGTTTCGGATAAATGAGTACTTCATTGTCCGGTCCTTTGAATATAACACCGCAACAGATCTTCTCTCTACGGATACAAAACAATCATTCAAATTAAAAACACTTATATTTTGCACAAATAAGTCTCACTTTTTCCAGAAAGACATGTCTAAGAAGGAAGTGATGGCAGTGTTTGTCGGCGACTCGCAAACCGTAGTCTCATTGTCGGTGGCACTGGGTTTCGATTGTTTACCACAACCGGACATTCCCTTCTTCGTTATCTTTTGTACTTCCAATTCCTCCTCCAAGTCATCCATGTCTTCATCCATGTCGTCGTCCATATCCGACGAATCAGATGCTTCAGGACTGGGTATTGCACTTTGCATTGCATTTAGACGTCCGGAGCCTTCAAATGGATTAGTGATCGTTAAAAGATTAGATGACAAGTCATTGCCCTAACAGGAGATCATTACCTTTCATATTGTAATTGTCGACAATCTTTGGCTTCAATAGTTTCCGATGAGTGACATGTTTGCGGGCGTTTGAGCTGTGATTCAATTGATCCAAAGAAGTGGCTGTACTGGCGATGGAGTTATCGTTGGGCTTTGATTTGCCGGACTTAGTCCCGGGTCCGGCTCTGGCGTCGACCACATGATGCCAATTACGGGTCGTATTTGTGGGCAATTTCTTCCATCGCTTAACCTTTTGCAACAAAAACAACGATTCAATGGATATATGACTCAATGGTCAATGAGATGGTCAGTCAAAGAGACTGAAATGGTTTCCGTACCAGAAGTACACATGCATTACATATCTCTCCACTTCTTCTTTCGATGATCTGAAAGCACTTCTCGAACTCCGGTTCGTATTTCTTGCTGTCTGTGAAGCGAGAGCTCGAAGACTTGGCTCTACAGATACAACAACCCGATAACGACCGGTAGATCTTCGGCTTATGGAAACTAAACATCGCTCTACTCTTCTCTACCCCTCACACCATACAACTCATCACTTCCTCGACAATAACACTCTTCTAATGGGCGACTAATGTGTTAACAGTGGATGACATCAATCGTAACGAAGAGAATCAATTGCATAGAAATGGATGCGAAGAGTGGTTGACGTAAGAGTGGATCAAATGAAGAGTGAATGTCTACGGTTGAGGAGGAAGTGAATGGTATGTATAGTATGGGTGACAGTCATAGTGACCCAGTTTTATATTTAGCTAACATTAATGCTAACACACTATCAGTGACTGAATTCAATGCTCAATACATACACAACACATACAAACACTACAACCACTCAATACTTCATAGAGAGAGCCTATACTACAGTACACTGTATGCTGTGCTCTGTGTAGTGCTGTGTAGTATGAGATCCAATGCCAACCCAATGTTAACCCAATGCCAAACCAGTCCTAACAGCCCTAACATTCACTTCATTCACTCGTATTGAGAGCTTTAGGTTAAAGAAAATTCCGTATTTTTACTGTTATGTTGTAATCAAAACTTCTTGTGATTGAATGTAAGGCAGAGCTCAACACAACTCGCATATAATTTTTAACTACAAATCGCAAACACATGAACACATGAATGCTAACCATTAATGCATATATTATTTTATTAAATATGTCTTCAATTGATTTCAATGACATTTTGCTTATCATTTAGACCTTGGTGTAAAAACCTTCGCTTTACTTTCATTTGTAATTTTTAAAAATTAAATAATCGATATATTTATAGAATATCTTTAGGATATAATTAGCGATAAAATATTCAAATATATTTTAATTGTAACTAAACTAAGGCTCAAAACCTATGACAGAAATGATCGTTAAGTGCATTGACTTAAAGAAATGAAAGGCTTTAAGAGTCGTTACACTTTTCACTTATTATTGATTCTAATGTTTAATATTTTAGTTATTTATAATCTATTAATTATTTTAAATAAATGAGTCCCCATTCAGATATTTTAATCGTAATTACAATTTAATTTAATACACATTATATTATAAATGAAAAATACAAATCAATAATTGTATTTAATTTAATATATTTCATTAAATTTGTGTAAATGTGTATTTGTTTGCGAGTAGAAGAATGTGTTAGTTCTGTGATAATATTTGTTTGCTTTTAATTTATAATAAAATAAAATTTAATTTCAATAGTTGTCTAGAGATAAGAATTTAGGACAATATGTGGGATAAAAAATAAAAATGTGTTTAATTCAAGAAATAAAATATTTTTTAATTAAGTCAATGAGAGTCAGAAATTAAATTTTAGTTTCAATAATATTTTAAATAAACAATTATAGGATTATTTTATATATTAATATTTATGTATATTTATTATCTTAATTTTATTTTTATTTATTGATTTTTTGCAAAATAATACTGTAATTGTTGTTGTATTTAATAAAACCAAAATGTATTAAAAGTATTGACGTATTCACAAAATGAATTGAAAGTTCGTAAAGAAGTCTTGACATAAGCGGAAAATCTGGGATAAAAGACATTTATAACAATTTATTATAATAATAATTACATTTAATAGCTATTGATTATCTATTAACTAATATTATTAGTAACTTTAATATGCATGTATGTCTATAATGATATTACCAAGACAAACTTATCACTAAATCAACTAATATTTATTATAATTTTAATTATTTCAGAAACATAATAAATATTGATCCATTTTTATAAATATTGCATTAATTTACATTAATGAAAAAATTCTATACTAGCTATTCTTTCTAAACAATAAATATTAATAAAATATTGCACAACAATATGTAAAAATGTTTTGAGAAACAAATTGTTGAAAGAAACTAAAAGTGACAAAAGAATTGAATTATTGGCAAACTATATAATACACACATTGAGGCCAGTATTACAGTATATGAGACATACAATACACGAATCGATGGTTTGTAGACCTAATAAATTAAGTAATAAAGAGTTACACAGAATATAGAGCACAGGAAAAGCCGGAAGTTTTGTTTAAGAAAAAAATCAATAAATTGCATGTA